AGATTCAAGGGAATAAATTTGTTTTTTCTTTTCTTCCAAATCACTCCCCAAACTGGGATTTCAAGGGAGTAAATTTGCTTTTTCTTTTTTCTAAATTTGATTTTTCTTCTTGAATTCGCTTTTTCTTTTCCACCAAGTCAAAATTCACACTTTCAAACTGGCATTTCAAGGGAGCAAATTTGCTTTTTTTTAAAAAAAAATTCGCTTTTTTTTTTTAATACCAAATCAAAAAAAATCACACTTCCAGATTGGGATTTCAAGGGAATTAATTTTTTTTTTTTTCTTACATAAATCAGGAGGTGCAGCAGCCACGTGAGGCTCATCTGAGCCAGAGGATCCTGCAGTGGAAAAAGTTTTGGCAGTCCCAAGTCTTTTGAGTAAAGAATAAAAACCTGGGAGGTAGGTGACCAATCTTGCTCTGTTACAGAGCACCTGAGGAGAGAAAAAAAAAATTCAAATAATTATTTAATAATAATAATAATTATTTAAACACAGCTCTGTGAGTCATAAGAAAAATCCTCCTTCAAGAATGATATTAAAATTTGAATTATGACCAGTTGCAACATCAAGCTGTAGAAGGATTTTATTGGTATTTTTACATTTTTTTTGTTATTGCTGTTCCAAGCAAAGAAAAAAAAAAACCTTAAAAACAAGTGGTTTATGTGTTAATTTAAGGTTTCTCACGTGAGGGAAGAGCCCTGAAAATTTAAAAAAGGCACCAGTGAAAGGCCACAATTTAAATTAAATTATGGTTGGGATTAAATTCAGAATTTCATAAATTCAAAATTTAATCTAATTTATATGGATAGGGATTGTCCCCACGATTATTTCCATGTATGTCACCCTGGAAAATACAAAACCCCACCTGCCATAGAGTGGGGATTTTTTGTAAAAATTCAACTTTTCAGGTGCAATTCTTTTGGAGAAAAAGAACAGAAAAGGATTTTCCTCAAGGGCTGAGCTTTGATTCTAGAAAAATTTTACATTTTACATCAAAAGAGGCACTTTCAGAAGTGGTTTCCTTTTCAAAAAAGAGAATAAATGGTGCTATTTGAACGTTTAATATAAAACCTGTATTTAAAGTTATCAGGACCTAAGGCAGTAGCACCTCTGTGTAAATATAAAATAATTTCTACCAAATTACAAAAACTCAAATGCTTAAAAGACTCATTTAATTGATGACTTAAATCAATTATTTACACTTCAAGCCTGGAGCTGTCTCGTTCTAAAAGAAGCTTTAAAAGGTTCCTGTAACACAACAACAACAAAAAAAAATCTGATTCCACTCAAATCTTTTTATTATGTAAAATCACTACGGAAATTAATTTTTTGCGTGATGATGATGTTATAAACAGATGTAAACAATTACAGCCGACGTGTAATTAGCAGAAAAGAACATTTTTCCTTATTAGCAGCCTCACTTAACACGGAGATGTCACTAATTACAGCTCACTCATGCAAATATTTACACACCTGGCATTACACAACACCGAGGGAAAAAAAAAAAAAATGAATTATTCATGTCCTCATGGCGAGAGCAATAAAAAAAAAAAAAAAAAAATCAATAAAAGGTGTGTTTTATTATCCTGAAATCAGCTGTTCCAGAAACACGGAATTCCTTCGTGGCTGAGCCCAGGATAATAGAAAAAAAAAACAGAGAAAAAAATATTAATTTAATGCCTAATTCTATTATCCCTGGGATGTTTAAACGGAAGCAGGGCTGGATTGGGGATATTAGGAAGAAATTGTAGAAATTATTCCCTGTGAGGGTGCTGAGGTTCTGGCAGAAGCTGCCTCTAAATCCCGGCCTTAGAACAAAATGAAAAATATCCCTTAGTTGGAATTGAATAATTTTTAAGGTCCTGTTTGTAATTCTATTTAATCCTCAATTTTGCGCCGTTCCCGTGTTATCCACCAGCGTCACTCACACTGGCCATGGTAGACGCTGCTCTCCCCTCGCTGACAGCCCGGATTCCCCTGGAAAAAAAGAAAAGAAAAGGAGAGAAAACAGAAAAAGGGATAGGAAAAAGGAAAGGAAAGGAAAAAAGGGGGAAAAAAGGGAAAAAGAAAAGGAAAAGAAGGCGCTGGAAATCTCCTCACACACCGCCCGGCCTCCCCCGCGTCCCAGGAGCGGCTTTGCCGCCGCCAGACAACGGCAGCTGAGGCAAGGGAGAAAGGAACGGGGAAATGGGAGAAAGAAGCAGGAAAATAGGAAAAAAAAACCAGAAACAAAAATAAAGAAACAAAAATAAAGAAAAAAAAAAGAAGAAAAGGAAGCCCCGGCCCCTTCTCACCTCTTCCTGCAAAATGGCGGCGCTCACCCGCCCCCTCCACGCCCTCAGCGCGCTCGGCCAGGCCCGAGCAGTCGATCCGCCGGCACATCCATGGCCGAGCCGCCCAACAGCGCGGAATCCGCCCCTCGGCCTCCCATTGCTCAGGGCTGCGGGACGGGGAGGGCGCCA